GTGGTCACATCTAAGCATTTATATAATGGAATATTAGCATTTTATTTTTTCAGTACTTTGTTCTCATTTGTATTACAATTGGTCAGTATATAAATACTTGAAAAATTATGTGTGTAGGTAGATTTTATTATCTATGAATTTTATTTCAGGATAGTCAAAGGGACATTACAAAATATATGTTATAAAAATGGGGCCCTGGGTCTAATACAATTGAGAATCATTGACGAGAATGTTCCTGAGAATAAATTTGATCTGTAATTACTGGTAAAAATGGAAATGCTTTTTCTAAATGATTTTTATTCTAATAATTTCTGCAATGAGAAACTTTTAAAAGGTGAAAGTATAGAATTAAAGTATCCATCAAAACTGACGTCAAAGATGACAGCTAGCAAAAAAGAAACTTACCTTGACATTTCCTATGTATACATCATCATTACAGAATAAGCCTTCATTAAGGTCCAACAAATAATGCCTAAGCCTGTAATACACTGTTCCAAACACTCAGTTTATATAGTAAACTTAAAAAAGAAAAAGCGTAGGGGCTCCTGGATGGCTCAGATGGTTAAGCATTTGACTCTTGATTTCAGCTCAGGTCATGATCTCAGGGTCCTGAGATCAAGCCCCGTATCGGGCTCTGCACTGGGCATGGAGCCTGCTTAAGATTCTCTCTCTCTCCCTCTCCTTTCCCTCTAAGGGGGAAAAAAAAAAGGCTAACATTTATTTAGTACTTTCTTATGTGTCAAGCCTTGATTTAAACACTTTGTATTAACTTGTTAAGGCTGGCAATAATCTTATAAAGTAGATACTGTTATTACTTCCATTTGCATGTGGCAAAACTAAGGCTCATACAGGTTAAATAACTTGCTCAAGATATCATAGCCAGAACTCAAGCCATGATGGAAGGAGTCCAAAAACCAACCCTATAATTCTAGATGATACCACCATTCACCTGCTACATGACTGTCAGGAAACCCCTCTAGGTTTTGGTTTTCACAGCAACAAAACTGAACTGCTAGGAAGATTAAATGAAGTAAACTATGTACTACTACCACAATTTACTGCACTGAATGCCTACTATCACATTATAAGAGCTTAATAATAGTAGCTGCTGTTATTCTACATGTATTCTACACCATCCTACAAAGGTGGCTACTGTTATTCTGTATTCTATTCAGCTACTATATGCACATTATTCTTTAATTATTTTACTGACAATGTAATTCTAAACAAAATTCCAGTATTAATATTTTAAAGGCTAACCTTCTTTTGTCTCACATCCTAAAATATCTGGCAATATTTACCAATTGTTTACCACCTGACCCAGCAATCCAGCTTCAGGAATTTATCCTCAGATATGCCTGCACATGTATGAAGTCATATATATACAACACTACTTACTACAGAATTGTTTTTAACAGCAAAAGATTAGAAACACAACCCAAGTGTTCATCAAGAGAGGGCTGGCTAAATACATTTTAATTATGTCCCTATAAAGAACAGTATGCAGCTTTTTTTTTTACTTATTTATTTATTTGAGAGAGAGAGAAAGCACACAGAGGGAGAGTGAGAGAGAGAAGCAGACTCCCTGCCGAGCAGAGAGCCTGACACTGGGCTCCATCCCAGGACCCTGAGATCATGACCTGATATCCATGACAACTGGATATCCACATGCACAATAATGAAGTTGGTCCTCTACCTCAACCCTATACAAAAATTAACTCAAAATGGATCAAAGATCTAAATATAAAAGCTATAACTATAAAACTCTTCGAATAAAACAAAAGCATAAATCTTCATGACCTTGGATAAAACAATGGTTCCTTAGATTAACACCAAAAGCACACGCAACAAAACTAAACATAGATAAATCGGACATGATCAAAATTTAAAAGTTCTGTGCTTCAAAGAAAACCATCATGAAAGTAAAAAGACGATGCATAAATGGGGAAAAAATTGTGTAAATCATGTACCTGTTAAGGGACTTCTATCTAGAATACATAAAGAAGTATTACAACTCAATAACAAAAACACAAATAACCTAATTAAAAACAAGCAAAGGATCAGAACAGACATTTCTCTCAAGAAGGTATTCAAATGGCTAACAAGCATGGGAAAATATGTTCATTATCATTAGCCACCAGAGAAACGGAAATCAAGCCCACAGATACCACCAACACCAACCACAATGGCTAAATAGAAGAGGGACAGTAACAAGCACTGACAAGGACGTGGACAAACTGGAAACCTCATTCCTGGTGACAAGAGTGTAAAATGGTACACCCATGTGGAAAACAATCTGGCAGTTCCTCAGATGCTGAAGTACCACAGTTACCACAGGATCTAGTGATTACACTCATAGGTATACAACCAGGAGAACCGAAAACATATATTCACACAAAAACTTGTACAAGTGTAAGTTCATAACAGCATTATTCATAATAGATGGAAAGTAGAAACAACCCCAATGTTCCCCTGATGGAATCAATAAAATGCAGTATACCCATACAAAGGATTATTATTCAGCAATAACAAAAAAATTAAGTACTGACACATGCTACAACATGGGTGAACCATGAAAAATTATTCTAAATGAAAGAAGCTAGTCATCAAACACCGCATATTGTATTATTCCTTTACCTTATGTATCCAAAATAGGCAAATATATAGAGACAAAAAGTAGATTAGTGTTGCCTACGACTGGGTTGAGAGTGACATCTAAGAGGCATAGCATTTCTTTTTGGGATAAGGAAAATGTTCCAAAACTGACTGTGGTGACAGAGGTACAACTCTATGAACATACCAAAAACCATTGAATAGTATACTTTAAATGCATAAACTGTATGGTATATGAATTATATCTCAATAAAGCTATTTTTTAAAAAAAGTAAACGAAGTACATCAATGAACTTTGAAAACACTATATTAAATGAAAGAAGCAAGACACAGAAGACCACATTTTATATGATTCCATTTATATGAAATACCTAGAATAGGCAAATCCATTGGGACAGAAAGTGAGTTATGATTACCAGGAGGTGGGGAGAAGGGGGAATGCGGAGTGACTCCTAATGGGCATGGGATTTCTTTCGAGGGTAATGAAAATGTTCCAGATTTAGACAGTGATGGTTGTGTAATTTTGTGAACATACTAAGAACTGCTAAACTGTATACTTTAAAAGGGTGAATATTATCCTCTGTGAATTACATCTCTTTTTTAAAAAAACAATGAATGTGAATCAACTAAGCTTGTAAGTTAACAACATAATGTACCTATTCACAAATTTTGTAATTCTCTAATATTTATGCATGTAGTTTCACATTTACCTTTTCTGAAATGCATGATAAAACTAGTTTTTCATGCCCATCTATTACTCAAAGGTGTACAAACTAAACTTTCTCAATCAGCAATTTTACTTTTTCCTTTAGGTAAAAGAAAGATTGAAAACTATTGGTATTTTTTACTATATTCATGATTGGTCTTAGTATCTTTATTTTTGACACCTTAACAATTTCTGACTTAAAGTCAATTCTGGAGTACTCTTGGCATTCATACCAGAAAATGAAAACTTTTTTTTTTTTTAAGATTTTTTATTTTTTTATTTTTTTTTATTTGACAGAGAGAGAGATAACGAGAGAGGGAACACAAGCCGGGGGAGTGGGAGAGGGAGAAGCAGGCTTCCCACCGAGCAGGGTGCCCGATGTGGGGCTCAATCCCAGGACCCTGGGATCATGACCTGAGCGGAAGGCAGCCGCTTAACCGACTGAGCCACCCACTCACTTTTCAGAAAATGAAAACTTACATTCATGTAAAAATCTGTGTGCAAATGTTCATAGATGCTTGATTCATAATAGCCAAAAACTATAAACTGCCTAGATGTCTTTCAACAGGTGAACGGTTGAACTTTACGTGTATACACCATGCAGTGCCACTCAGCAATAAAAAGTAAATGAACTATCAATACATGCAACAACTTGGATAAATCTCAAGTAGGTTATGCCAAGTGAAAAAGGCTGATCTCAAAAGGTTACATATTGTATGGTTCTATTTATGTGACATTTTTGAAAAGACAAAATTCTAGAACTTGAAAGCAGATTAAGGATTGTTAGGGGTGAGGGATGGCGACAGAGCAATGTAGTCTGGCTAGACATGGACGTGGTCATAAAAGGGTAACAGGAGGCATCTCTGTGATACGACTGTTTAGTACCTTAACGTGGTAGTGGATCTGTCAATCTAAACACAAAGAGTACAAGAAAAGCTGCAGCACTGTGAGTACAATCTGTAGACTGTATCAATGACAGTATCATGGTTGTGATACTCTACTACAGCTCTGTAAAATGTTACCACTGGGGAAATCTGTGTAAAAGGTACATCTATGTAAAGGGTACTCTCTCCATATTCTTTCTTACAGCCACATGTGACTCTATGCTTATCTGAATAAGAATTTTAATTTAAAAAAAGTGCAGATCAGGGGCACCTGGGTGGCTCAGATGGTTAAGCGTCTGCCTTCGGCTTAGGTCATGATATCAGGGCCCTGGGATCAAGTCCTGCATTGGGCTCCCTGCTCAGCGGGGAGCCTGCTTCTCCCTCTGCCTCTACCGCTCCCCCTGCTTGTGCTCTCTCTCTGTGTCAAATAAACAAATAAAATCTTTAAAAAATAAAAAAAAAATTTTTTAAATAAAAAAAGTGCAGATCAACGTACATGTATAACTACTTATGGAGAAGTAAAATTATATTTGTTGATACTTACATAAAGGAACAATGAAGGAATACTGAAAGTGGTTATCTTAGGGTAAAAGTGGGCAGATGGGGTAGGAACAACTTTTCAAAGCATTAATTTTCACAATATTTTAAATTTCGAATCATGATATTACCAGATCAAAAAAATAAGTAAAATATTAAAATACCTTTGGACAAAAAGAACCTTAATTTTAGAAAAAAAGAACCTTAATTTAGTAAACTTCTACTACTTTGGAAAGTACCTCAATTTCAGTTATCCTTACCTCTAACCTCTGTGTCTGATCCTTGCCCAAAAGGTCACGGACTTCTTCATTATATATTTCCAAGTAAGACACTCGAACCAAAAATCTATAAATAAAACATCATTTTAGGAAGCATAAAGAGCAGAGAAATATTTATGAGTTTTCAAATGTGTTTATAAGCTTTATACCTATATGCCTTTCTTGTGTTTGTACTTCTCAATATTAGAAAATAAAAGAATTCTCTTTTACCTTGTATCACCCTCTGCTTTTGCAATATGACCAAATATGTGAGCAAATGAATTTGGAATGATTCCTCTAAGTTCAGGAACAGCTCGAACACCTTCCATGGTAAAAGTTTTGCCTGTTCCAGTTTGTCCATATGCAAAAATAGTCCCTGAAAATGATGAAGAGAATCAAATCACTTTTTAGAGTCTAATGCTACAGAACAATAGCTCTTAAAAGTAATTCCTTTGACACTGTGATGCAATTTCTTCCCTGGACTTAAAATGTATTCAAGTACAAATTTCATTTTTTTTTAGATTTTATTTATTTCTTTGACAGACAGAGATATAGCGAGAGAGGGAACACAAGCAGGAGGAGTTGGAGAGGGAGAAGCAGGCTTCCCACCGAGCAGGAAGCCCGATGCGGGGCTCAATCCCAGGACCCTGGGACCATGACCTGAGCCGAAGGCAGACGCTTAACAACTGAGCCTCCCAGGCACCCCTACAAATTTCACTTATATTATTCAACAATAACAATATGTACTCTGTGCCACATGAGCCAAGCACTGTTAAAGTTCTCGCGTCAATGAGATATTCCTAATTATTAATGAAAAGTATCCCAAGCCCTAAAAGCAAAATTTTACATTATGGCTACTTATAAGAAATTTACTATAATGTGTATGTTAATTACTTAATGTGGACATTAAATTGGAGAAGGCAGTATAATTGCAGCAACAAAAGAATACAGGTTCTATAACGGAAAGACCTCAGTGTGAATCCACACGTCTGCCACTTTTAGGCACCTGAGCTTAGACAAGAGATTGTCTCTCAGACTCAGAGACTGTCTCGTCAGTGGTAAAACGAGGACAAGAATAACTACCCAACATGAACAGTAAGAACCAAATGAAACAGTTTACTCCACACGACCAGCATGATGCCTGGTAGAGTACAAGTAAATGGCAGGTTTTTTTTCTTCTTAATCCTAAAATAAATTCATTTTAAAAATATGTATTTTTTAAGTAAAATCTGTAAGGAATAGGGGAGTTAAAAAATGTGACAATACAATCATTATAGGTAATTATAGATACAATTTAAACTTTCTAAATACCTAAATTCATTCATTCAGCAACTACTTAGCACACACCTGAGTATGGCACCATGCTAGGCACCAGGGACAAAGTGGCAAACAAGACAAACAGAATCCTTAATTTTATGGTGTGCATCATCTTGGAGAGGGGATACTGGTCAAACACTTACAAGCAGGATGAGTGTTGGGAATAAGAAACGGAGTTCTAGCTGAGAGTAAAGGGATATAATCTAGGCAGGAGAAATGACACAAGGGGAAAGTGGAGGGAAGTCAAGAAACGCCTTCCAGAAAAGGTAAGGTTCAAGATACAATCTGAAATATAAGTAAGAGTTAGAGAGCAACGGAGCGGACAGCAAGAAGTAAGAAAGAAAACAGAGGTTTTGAGGAAATGAAATGAGATCAGAATGGAAGAAGCGGAGATGGAAAATGAAGGCAGATGGACACAGAGGTAAAGACACCGCAAGGGCCTAATTGCACACCGCCATGAAGGCCACGCTAAAGTTGTAAGAACGAATCCTAAAAGCAAAGTGAAGCCACAGAATGATTTTGCAGTTAGGAGTGACATCAGGATCACTTTGGCTACACTGTGTACAAAGAACTGGAACAAAGCAAGGGGAGATGTGATGAAGCCAGTCAGAGAGCTGGAGTGGTCAGCCAAATGAGACATGGTGTTGACAACAGAAGAGAATGAGAAAAGGTGGAAGGATTTCAGAGCCATGTAACCATTAGAAGCAACAGCATCTGGGAAATAACTAGCCAGGGGACCACAGAAAAGGAGGAATCCGGGATGACTTTTCAAATTTCTGGCTTGAACAAGGGATGTATGGCTGGTGAACACCACCAGAAGAAATGACGGTTTGAAGGGAAAGACTGAATTCAGTTGAGGGCATACTGAGCTCTAAGTGCCCATGATAACCCAAATGCATGTGTCAAGCAGACAGGTGGAGGGATGAGATGCATGTGCCCAGTGAAGCCCTGGGAGCGGGTGCAATTTCTGCAGGAGACAGCACAGTGTGAGAAGACAGCACAAACGACATGGCTTTTCAACTACTTCCACCCCATCAAGTGACCTCTTACGTCACCATCATTTTCAGACTTTCCGTGACAATCATCACGATACTTAATCACGACAGAAGCCATTTTTTATACATGGGAATAAAAAAAGTCTTTTTTCTAACTCGCTAAATATCTCAAACTATGCCATTAAGAACGTAACGTATTGCCTTCAAGAGAGCTGAAAATATTATGAACTCAGACCACATGTGAGAGGCGACACAATGACTATCATTTACTGATCATCTACTATGTGCTAGGTCATGTACTGTACATACAACCTCACTGAATTTTCACCCCAATCCTAAAAGCAAGGCACTATTTATATTCCCATGCTTTAGCTAAGGAAACAAAGGCTTAGAGAGGTTGAGTTACTTGTTCAATGTCATAGTAAGTGGTAGAAACAAGACGTGAACACAGTCCATTTGGCTCTAGAGCCCTTATTTTTTAAAAGTATGTAATGGCCAAAATTTTAATTCAAAATTAATTTCTAATAAAATTTCTATGAATTCATTAAATATATGAAGATTATGGATTCAAAAAGGATATTGATCTACAATTTTAAAGCTGAGAAATGAGGACCAGGAATCCCCTAGAATAAAAGAATCTCATCTCATTTTCAGAGATGAGATTCCAAATTTCTAGTTTTTGTATGTCCAACTTAACAAATCTAATGCTAGCATTTCCTTAAGATGAACTTCTCTTAAAACTTTACTTTTTAGGGCGCCTGGGTGGCTCAGTTGGTTAAGCGACTGCCTTCGGCTCAGGTCATGATCCTGGAGTCCCGGGATCGAGTCCCACATCGGGCTCCCTGCTCAGCGGGGAGTCTGCTTCTCCCTCTGACACTCCCCCCTCTCATGTGCTCTCTCTCTCTCATTCTCTCTGTCTCAAATAAATAAAATCTTTAAAAAAAAAAAAAACTTTACTTTTTAGGGGCACCTGGGTGGCTCAGTCGTTAAGCGTCTGCCTTGGGCTCAGGTCATGATCCCGGGGTCCTGGGATTGAGCCCCGTATTGGGCTCCCTGCTCTGCAGGAAGCCTGTTCTCCCTCTCCCACTCCCCTTGCTTGTGTTCCCTCTCTCGCTGTGTCTGTCAAAAAAAATAAATAAAATCTTTTAAAAAAAAAAAACAAACTTTACTTTTTAAAAACTAAAAATGACCTGAAATTTTACCCAACCTCCCCATTTCATGACTACATCTTAAAAATGGTAGAAAGCCTACAAAAAATCTGCATATGGATGTTTACAGCAGTGCATATTCATAACTACCAAAATTTGGAAGCAACCAAGATGTCCTTCTGTAGGTAAGTGAACTGATAGATAAACTGTGGTACATCCAGACAACAGATTATTATCAGTGCAAAAAAAGATACAAGCTATCAAGCCATGAAAAGACAAGGAGAAAACTTCAGTGCATATTACTAAGTGAAAGAAGCCAAACTAAAAGGTTACATATTATACAATTGTAACTGTATGACAGTCTAGAATAGGTGAAACTATGGAGACAGGAAAAAGATTAGTGGTTGCTAGGCTTAGCCGGGGAAGGAAGGATAAACAAGCAGAGCAGAGGTGAAATTATTTTTTATGGTATTATAATAGTGGATACACATCATTATATTTTTGTCAAAACCCATAGGATGTACAACCCCAAGAGTGAACCCTAATGTAAACTATGGACTTTGGATGATAGTGATGTGTCAGTGTATGTTCATCACTGTAACAAATGTACCACTGTGGTGAAAGATGTTGATAGTGGGGAACTTTGTATATGTTTGGAGACAGGGATATATGGGAAATCTCTGTACTTTCCTTAATTTTGCTATAACCTAAAGCTGTTCTAAAAAAGCTTATTTATTAAAAAAAAAGTTTTAAATGGTGGAAGGATTATGTACTTGCCATTGCACATTTGAATAATGCCAAGTAAACATTCTATGTTATAGCATTCCTGATTTTTGTCCTTTTTAAACATATTGTTCTATGTTACCATCAACAATTTTCAGTCAGCATAATAGGTGGAAAATAGGTGAAAAGTCCCTTGACATTTACATACTACTCCGTACAACATTTATTTTTTAAAACACACAATTCTGTTATTTCAAAATTACTTTACAAACCGCTTCCAACAAAGAGTAACAAGGACCAGATTTACCCTCTTGACTGAAACAAAAAGCAGACAAAATATATGAAGCAACAGTTTTCAAGACAATGAACCTCAGTCAATAAAGGGCTGTGACCCCAAAGTCGGCAAACAGGTAAGTCAGGCCCTATGACTGCCCAGCTTCCTGCCTTGTGAGAGAATCAACCACAGAGCAGGAGGGGGAATCCAAGGAGTGATGAGCAGATTCTCTGAGTCAAGAAGGAGCCCAGAGTCCAGAGAGACCAACGCAGCTAGAACTTGGGGGACACGGTAGCGAAGAGGGTAACACCGCGCAGAAAGTTGCAGATTCCAGAGGTCTGCAGGTCTTCCTCAAGTATTCGGCTGAGTACTAAGCATCTCAAGAGTGTGAGGAAACTATCTAAATGGAGGTGGGGGTGGGAATCATTTGGAAGGAAGAGTCCTCAATGCTCACAAAGGGCAGAAACAGTATCTGTTTACACCAGCCAGACTGGAAAGCCTCATGAAGCACGGGACATCAGGTACAGTAAACAAAAGGATCTTGCCTCAGAATTAGGGGACTAACCTTAGACTGATCACTACTCCAGTCCTAACTAAGGATCTTAAAAAGATCTGAAAAAGCCAGAGAAAGACAAATACCGTATGATTTCACTCATATGTGGAATTTAAGAAACAAAACTGATGAACATAGGGGAAGGGAAGGAAAAATAAAATAAGATGAAATTTGAGAGGGAGGCAAATCATAAGAGATGCTAAACTCTAGGAAACAAACTGAGGGTTGCTGGAGGGGAGATGGGGGGGATGGGGTAATTGGGTGATGGGCATTAAGGAGGGCACTTCAAGTAATGAGCACTGATGAATCACTAAATTCTACCTCTGCAACTAATAAAAAAAAAGATCTGAAAGAATCAAACCATTT